TCCTCGTCTGTCGCATACTTGTGTAAAAAAAAAAAAAAAAAAAAAAAAAAAATCACACCTCTTTAAAAAAACAGTTAAAAACTAAACTAAAACTGTTTAAACACACCGAATTAAAAATGGTGGTGATTGGTTTGCAGACTTGTTCTCCCACTGCTGCTTGAAGCCCAGAGTGGTGTCTGCCTGCTACAGTACTGCCTCGAGAAAACCAGCTGTTAACCTGCACTCCATCAAATGCTGAAAGGTTCAGTGCCTTCCCTTAGAGTAATGTCAGTCTTTGTTCTTCTTTTGAAGCCTCTTGAAGTGTTTTGAATTGGCTTCATTTTCACAGACAAAATGCTTGTTGCTACCTGAAACTCTGGGTTTTTCAAACTATTTTATGCTAGGCAGAATGATTAGACATTAAATTTTATCCTAGTTTATTTCCAGTGTGCCGTCTTTCCCTCTCTGTCTGCCTTTCCACCTTCCTTGTCACCTGAATAATTTTTGCTGTGTTGACCCTTTTCTGCTGAATCTGAGAGAGTTAGAGACCTTAGCATTATTAAACTCCTTAAAATATTGTGAAAATTCACAGAAGAATGACCATATCTGTGCCTGGCCTCCCATCCTTCTGCTTCTGCTCTCATGCAAAGGCTGTGGTATAAATCCCACTATTTTAATAGACGCAAGAGGACCTACACTTTGCTTGAGGAAACCAGGTTTCTTGAATTATGCTGCTGCTGCTGCGTTTGCTCACTTCATGGTGTCAAAGGTAAACTGGGTGGTGTTTGCAGGTATTTTATGTGTTTATTATGGGAAGAGTCTACCTGTGAGTAGGTTTCTGAAAACAGAGGTTTAATCTAATTATAGAGGTGGCTTTTGTCCTGCAAATGTTGTGGACTCTGAGGTGCTGCTGATTGGGCAGCAAAGCTCGTGTTAGTGTTACCAGAGGTACCGCACTGAAAACAGGCTAATGTCTAAATATTTTAGCTACTGTTGTCACCAACCAAGAATGAACAATTATTTTATCAGTTCGTGTACCTTAAAGTAGAAAACTTCTTTTTGGAATAACAAAGATTTTTGCTTTCAAAATTTGCCTAATTAAAAATCAAGGTTGCAGATTCTGTGCTGAGTTTCTGCCCTAGGCAAATCTTTCCTTTGAAGCTACAACTGGCCCCTAAAGAAACGACTTTGTTATGGTGCTGCTGGATACCTTCGCAATGCTGTTTCAAACCCAATTTCTTATTCTTTAGAACCCTCTGTTATTTAGATTCATTCAATTTAAAGATTCATCTTGAAAGCAGAGTGCATTAAGTAATAACTATGCCTCTGTAACCAATGACTGTCTTTTATGTCGTTTCTATCCCCTCCCCTGGTCCCCCATCAAGCCACATTGTCTGCATTGGCACCAGCGTGACTGTGATCAGTTCTTTCGCAGATGTCTGTACGTTTGAGCTTGTTGTTCAATACGCTGTTTGTTAGGCTTTATTATACTATCTGAAACCTTACAAAATAAAATACTCTCATCAGGGCCTTGCTAAAATTATTTTGGGAGTTTCGGAAGAGGATTCTAGAAGTAGATAACTTCTTTTCTGACGAACTGGAAGCAATTCTGTTAATCTTGAGTATAGGTTATTTTTTGTGGCTGTCGTGCAGTCGTGAGAAGTCTTAACTCTGATAGTAGTACATTTCAATGAATAGACCTTAGAAATATGCCAAAGAACCTAATCAGTATTATTAATTATTTAGAAAGTATGATTACTACTTGTCTACTTGATGAGTGAAAGTGCCAAAAAGTAGAAGCGTACGGAGTGTATGTAGAGTTCGCATGCATAGTCTGCAGACCCATAGTTGAATTCAAACGGGTTATGGTTAGTTTTAATGGAATTTAATCAGAGGATAAGAGAAATGGGCTCTTTTTATGGCAGTGTGTGTGCTGTGCATGAATAACAGGACATAGTTACCTATGTGTTAGAAACTTAAATATTGGGCATTTTATTTTGAGGTGAGGTTAAAGACTGTTGCAGTTGTGAAATTGAGTTGACTGTAGCAGATGTTTTCTCTCACCTGGTTCTCGGGTGCACACTGCCAAGTGTCTTCAGATCATCTTGTGGATTTGAATGAGTAACTCTGTGTACGTAAGAGATGTGGGGAAAAGGGAGCTGTAATAAACAGCACGACTGAGTGCAGACATTCATTCTTGTTTCATTGTGATGCTTAGAAAGAGAAACTGGCTGAAAACATGTTATAATGAATTCAACTGACTAGCAAGTTTTCCTCATCCAAACATGGCATAATGGAAAATAGCAGTGGCAAAAATGGTTAAAAGTCTGAAACTGAGTAATAACAGTAACTATTAATACAAGTAAAGAAACTTTTAAGAGCCTGTTTTATGTTTTGATAACCCTTTAGCTTCTTAGGTGACTTGCCAAGTCCTATAATATCAAATCAACTACAGAGTCGTCATCAAAACTGGTTTCTTGGCTTACCACCTTCCTTTCCCTGCTGCTGCGGGATTATTCCTAAGCTACAGTCAGGTTTCAAGACTCAAGTAACAAAGCTTGCTCAACTTTAAAATGCAGTCTCTCTCCGAGCTAGAAAGAGTCCTGTCCCTTCTTCCCTGCCCTCA